TTACTTTTCTTTAATCCGAAAAATCCTTACTTTTTAAAGGAAGCTTAAAAAAGTTACTCTAAGCAACTTTTTATCTACAAAAATGTTTGGATAACTTTAGATTCTTCTTATATTTTAAAGTAAAAATGCTTTTTACATTTTTTTTTTAAAATTAAGATTAAAAAAAGTAAAGTTCCTTTCGAGTTACTTTTTTGTTTACAAAAATGTTTGAATAATTTACATTTCTCTTATTTTTAGTAAAAAAGTTATTCTTTAAAAAAGAAATTTACTGTAGTGTCAAAATAAGAAAATATTTTTCAATCTTAGCAATAAAAAAATGATTCATTTTAAAACTTATTTATTTACTTATAAGTAAATGTACGTGTTCTTTTGTTGATCTATCCAAATTAATTTTATGCGTAATACATCATGTACATTTTCAGGATTGAATAGTCTCGTCCAAACCAATCTCATAGGGGGATTATTTCAATTCGGTGTGACTGAGGATGATATGCTACTTGGATTAGTTAAGTCATGGTATAATTTGTGCCAAACACCATATTGAATAAATATTATCCTTATCCGGTGTAATATAGTCTTCCGAACTTGCTCTCATTTTGTATTATTATTTTTATTATTTTTTTTTTTGCATCTTCTCATGTTGGGATTACATGATTGAGTTTTTCCTATGATGTCATTCAGATTTTCTTCTACTGTAACATGGTAGCTTTTCTAGGGTTTTCGGAGGACTAGTACAAGGAATCAAGTAGAGCAGCGTGCCCTTTATCTCCACTCGGTATGTAGGTTGTTCCGTGGTTGATTTTCATTTTGATTAGGTAAACTGTGGTCCATAACTCTGGAAACTTCTGTGTTTGAGCAGGTTTTGACACATCGATCGGGTTCTGCTTCTATGCTCTCCCTCATTTACACGGAGATTCTAAAGATGCTTCGTATGTGGGGTCTCCTAAATTTTGACGTGGAGATTTTCTTCCCTCATGATTCATACAGTTGTCCAAAAGGGTATCACAAACAAAAGAGCAAGGAATCTGATCAATCACATATTATGACTACACAAACTTTACTAGTGGAGGTAATTCATTTGTCTTGCCCCCTTATTTTTGTAGTATACTTTTCCTTCCTTCCATGAAGAGCATTATATTTGTCTTGGCCTTTAGTGTGTGCATTTGAAAGATGTTTGGTGCACTCTTTTGTCTCTTATAAAGATGAGATGAGACAAGCACTGAAAGGGAGTTAGTACTTATAGGGTAATTGTTCCTAATTTGGTGCTGGATAACCAGTCTTCTTCAGTCTTATCTCTAGTGCCTTTTAACACTGTCCTTGCATAAATCCATGAACTTCTTACTTTCCTAGGTAGTAGTCCTTCCAGATTGAATTTTTCTACGGTCTTTTATCTAGAAGCTTCTAGATATATCCACGTGTTTTACTCTCTACGCCACTTTCTATCTAAACCTTTCAGTTCAAAAGGTAAAATTACTATTTACACCCATAATTTACTCCTTACCCACACTTTACAAGCGTAAAACATGAGGTACAACATTTCATTCTCGTCTAATTTTTTGGCAGCCTTCGTGGAAAATCCTATTTCATTTTCCCCCTCTATATTTCTTCCTTCCTCACCTTTTTCCCTACATCTTCCCTTCTTCCTCTCCCCTGACGTCACCTCTGCAGCATGTGGAAAGGGATGAAGGATGGTGGGGGAAGTGTTGAGAATTCGAAACCCTCATTCTATTCCACCAAGAACAATCAATTTGTAGAAAGAAAAACTATGACAATATATATCAAGTATCTAACTTTACAGGTGACCAGCTGAAATTGTCTCCCACGGAGGCATGTTTGGTGACCGATTTGTGAAATATTCATACCAAATATGACAATATGTTTCAACTATCAAATTTTACACATCTCATTCCTTCGTGCATCCTTTTGATTGGTCATATTGAAATATTCAGGTCACCTTGTGTGAACCAATACCCATCTTCTAGGCATTCTTTACCTTTCCTTTCTTATGCCCCTTTATAATAGAAGGCTGTAAGCATCATGGCCCTGCCTCCAGTTTAATATTTCAACAGGCCTTCTATTATTTCTATTAAAGCAAAATGAAATGAAAATTTGAGATATATCAATAATCTATATCTGGGTCTGAGGCTTTTAGATTTAGTTTTTGCGTTCTCTTTGTACTGCTTTCATGGAGTTCAAAAGTGTGGTGATGACCTAAGTTCGAGTTATCCGATCATGCATTTCTTTATTACAATCTTGATATACTAGGTCCATGTCATCAGAGATTTTAATTGGACACACTCAGGTGATTGCAGATCTCACATGAAAATCATACTCAAAATGATTATGACAGAAAGACATACCTCAAAATTTTAGATACTCAATACATAATGTGTAACTTTTTACCAGCAAGCATTTTGTATGTTATCTATCTAATTACAATTTCAACAAACAAGGATTTGTGTTGATTCTGTTATTAATGGTGACTTTCTTGTTCAGATGTTGAAAGATTTGAAGCATGCTTTCTGGCCATTTCAACTTAATCATACTAGAAGTCTGTTCCTAAGGGCAGCACAAGCTGCTCACTGCTCCAATGGATCCAACAACACTAAAGAAAGGTTTTTATTGTATAATTTATACTTAGTTTATCTTCTAAGAATAATTTGCCATATAAGGATTTTGTTTTTCTTTTCATATTATTCTCTCTCGCATACTTCTCAAGCACGTACACTTTCTGATGCAGTGCTGTGGAGATTGCATCTGCCAAGGCTGCTCAGCATAGGCTGCAACGAGGTGTTTGGACCAGTGTTCGTTTTGGGGATATGAGACGTGCACTATCTGGTATATGAATGATCTGGTCTTGTACCTTTATCACCATGTTTTATTATTAACTTCATTAAGGGCACATAGGAAATGGTGAGTAACATGATATGTACATAAATGCTCTAAAGGTTCCTAATATACAAATAGAAAGTTCCGGATAAATATTAAGCCCCAGGTTGATGACCGTTATTTTCAAACTCTTTTTTCTACATACTCATTTTTAACCTCCTCACATTTACATAATAAAATATTCTGCTCATCAACAAAAAACTTTTTCCTACTTTTTAACCACAAATTCTCCTAAAAAATACTATTCAAAACATTGTTTTTTTATAAATAATGGCCACCAAACAGGGGCTAAATTGGACGCTTTAAAAAAGGTTTGCCTATTATCACTAGGCAATGCCAACAATAAAGACTCCTTTCCAATCTCAATAAGCAAATCTATCCTTGACTCAAAATTTTTCACGTTCAATAGTAGTTGGCTTAATGGATGCTATTATTCTAGAAGGAACTACCTTAAATTCGCACCCTCCTTCCATGTCCGTGTTGGTTTGGAAAGTAAAAGTGAGACATGGGTTGAGTTTGGCTTGTATATTACTCTAAAGATCAGGTTATCAACAGAATAGATTATTTCCTTTTGGAGTAATGGACTAAGATAAGTGATGGATTTAAAAATTTCCTTTGCCTTTTCGCAAAAATCATATATAGTAGTTGTTGAATCACTTGATCTAAAAGCTTAAATTGTTAAATATAACCACATTTATCATTAAAATATTATATTGAACACGCCCTCTCACATGTACGTGGGATTAATTTATCCAGATTAAAGGTAATGAGATTTGAATTTTGGACATTTGCCTACTTTGATATTATATTGAACTACGTGATATAATGTTTAAACTGTTAGATATGACCAAATATTTATCATTTAAATATTATATTCAACAGTAGCATATATGTGCTCAATTAGATCTGTAGAGGGAAGTGTTAAAAGTTGTTATTATGCGAAAAGCATAGTTGTCACAAGAAACTACCTGACTTCTGTTGCCCAGGACTGGCTAAATATTTTCATATGATTTTTCCTCATTTCTTAATGAAAATAAATTATCTAAACTCTGCACGTACACAATATTGGAAATTTCCTATTGCTTGGAGTACAATTATTTTTCAGTGAGCCTTACCAAAATTGCATATACATATGGATATATATTACTGTGAAAACATTGGGTATAGAACACAAATAAGGGGACAGAGAGCAAAACGAGAATAGAGTGTGGAATAGTGTGTTATGGTGAAATAAAGTTCTTAGTGCTATATTTTTATGTTTTATTAATTTCTACTCATTTTTATCTCTCAAAGAATTGCTACCTGAGTGGTTGCCCCATTGCTTAGGCAATGCATTAGGATATCACCCAGACTCTCCTAGGTGTTTTGGCCATTACCATTGTGAATGTATATATTTCTTTATGCCCGGATTATGTCAGAATAACACAATTAATAGTGCAATATGTAATGATTTTCTAAATCTACCTGACTATTAGTTCTTGGGAAATAAACAATATGGATTATTTAATAAAAACAAGATAAAATCATATGCTTAAAAGCAGGTTTGTGCTTTTGATTGTTGAGTCATAATGTTTATAAAGGATCTTTATTTCTGCATAAATATACTACCTGTTTGCTGCATTTCAAACCTCGTGAAAACTTCCGATTACCGTTTAAAATTTCTTACTTGTTCTTGTTGCCTTCACATTTAATGATCACGCTCTTTAACAGCGTGTGAACGTCTTATCCTACTCCAAACTGATCCAAAGGAACTAAGAGATTATGCTGTTCTTCTTTACCACTGCGGATTTTATCAGGAAACACTGCACTACCTCAAGCTGTACATGGATACTAAGGTAGAGTTTTCCTATCTGTTGCACTTTGATGTATCAATTTAAACGTCTTATTTGTTTAACTAATGAATCATTAATCAATTGCAGAAGTCCTCTACATCGGAGCAATCATCCCGTTCAACTAGTGACATGGAGGAAGATGCTGTGGAGAAACTAATGGTTCGACTTAACCTCATTTTGATGGAGGGTTGGTCTAGCGACTCAGATAACAGAAATTTCATTTTCAACAATTCTGAACCATGGTAACCTCCGGCATCTAATTCAGAACTTCCAATCATTGTCATAATAGAATCTTTGCTGCAATAGAGTTCGATTTTAGGATGGGTTTATAGTGTCCGTTTAATAAAATTTTTGCTTTTGTTTCTTGTAGAAAAGTTTCTTGAGGTAACTTTCTCTAAAAACTCTTAGTCACACACATTAAAAGATGTTAAGAAAAAACATCTTAATTTTCCGAAGCAATTTTTGATTTTTCTAGTCTTCTCAAAACGGTTTCATAGTCAAATGGGGATTGTCTTTCGAACTGCTGATGGGAAATAATTTTCAATCTTAAGATGGTCAGAAATGATTTAAAAAAAAAATAAAAAATTGAGTGAATAATAAACAATATGGGGATGAATTGATGTGGTTTTGTTTCAACTACTCTAAATAATAATGCATAAATTTGAGTGAATAAATCAGTATCGAAGATCTACTTTGGCAAGGAGAATAAAAATTACAGTAGTAGATCAGAAGCCGATTTGATCTAACAAATTAGTTGGACTAAATCAGGAAATAAGACAACAAAAAACACGAAGCGTTGATTCTATGAATACTCGAGAAATTAAAATTTCAGCACACCAATAGAGTGGAGCCCACATTAAATTAAATAATAATATGAATGAGTGGCATCCATCAATGTGCTTTTTGTACAAATTAATGACTTTAATTTACTCAACATTGTCAAAGGTTTCCCAGCATTAACAAAAGCACCTTTGTCAGGTTCTTACACAAATAAACAAGACAAACAACAAAAATATTGAGGTGGGGGAACACTACTTGTGTTTCGTGCCCACCAACCCACTCATTTTTCTTCGAATAAAACGGTTTGTACTGGGAAAAATGTGAGGGAAATTGCCAGGTGATGATGTGACGGATTTTGATTGACTATTTCAAATTTGTTTTTTTTGTACAAATTCCAATGAAAATCCGCCATTTGACATTTTGGCAATTTTCCTGACATTTTTCCCGGTGCATGTAGCATCTTTCTTTTTCTTCAATTAGTTGACATACCATATTGAAAAGAAATTCTTGTGCTCACAACAAAATTCATGAAAAAAAAAAGTTGCATAAATTTGGAGAGAGTCTGAAATAGGAAAAGATGACTAAATTCCTGTCACTTTCTCTCTTGACTAAGCATTATTCACAAAAAAAGTTGAATCAACTTGACTTTACACATGATCCAATATGTTAAACAAATTGTATCCAATCCAAGCATCATTTGTTAGAAACTACATGCGCATTAGATTTTATTTTGGAGCAAAATTCTGAAAGGTATAAACACGATGCCTTGCTTCCAATGGAATCTGTATACTCTCCTCAACTTCTGGAACAAAAATATTGGACATCTTCTATTCTTCATGTACATTTGCAGTAGAACTGAATCATTAAATACATGTTCCTACAAGTTTCAAGTAGTGTCTTGTCTGAAGATTCTTAATATGAAATCACGAAAACGCCTAGAATACTGGCTCGGGTCAACTGCAGATATTGAATTTGGATCATAATGGAATGACTTGTATGCATGTTCAAGCTTCTTGCTAATATCATAATCTTGCAATATGTCAATTATACCCAAGATCAGAATGACATCATAGTATTCACCAGTTGGTTCCATAACAAGCTCACTATCAGTTCTTCTTGTCGCCAGTTCAGCCCGTGCTGGCATGTTCATACCTAATCTAATGGTAATGAAAAACAGTGTCATTAAGTCTAATAGTGAACTTAAAAGCATCTTATCTTTCATACTATTAAATTCAGGATATGATAGATATATCATGATAATAAGCCAGCAGAATCATTTGAGGACCGTGCTGTCAGGTTAACCAGAGATGCTACATGTACAGGAGAACATGTCTGGGAAAGTGCCAGAATGTCAAGTGTCAAAAATTCATTGGACCTTACACAAAAAAACAGATTTAAAATAGCCAGTCAAAATCTGCCGCATCAGCACCTGGCAATTTCCCTTGTATAGACAGCTTTATACCATGTTGACTTGAGTATCCTTTGTACTCAAACGTATCAACTGAATTATAGAAAAAGGTTTGCGCAATAAACACCAATGTTAAACTGAATGTTTATAATATTTAGGGAAAAAGTAGAGTTCGAAATCTTAATGAAGTTCACACTTCATGGATTAGCATGTTTTATACCGGGTTGGGATCAAGATCTGACCTAGATAGCTCTGGAGCTGTTTCTTCACTGCCTTCGTCTCCATTCCCTACAAAATTTCACTTTCTTCCACTTAAGCGGGTATTGAAAAAAGAAAAAGACATTTTTTTTAATTATATTGCAGAGATCTAATGAATACTGCGTGCTGAACATACACTCAAAAAAAAAAAAGAAAAAAAAAGGATTTATGGAGGTTACATATATACCACTAGGACTTTGCACTTGGGAAATACTAGCCTCCATTGTTGGCGGTGGTTCGCCAGTACGTGACATTTGTGTAAAGTGAATCCCAACCAAAAGACTGTAATCCATAATTCTCTCCTGCTCGAGAAAATTGCAGTCCCTGTCCACTTGCCTGCATAGGGAAAATCTCAGCCTAGGATACAAAATGTTAAGGATATTATTTGTGCTGGATACATCAATGCATAGACTGCTAGTTGAACTATTTCGAGATGTAGAGCCTTTCCTATCGGGAAAATGTTTTTAAATGTGAAATCATTTTGAGAGAAGAATTTTGCGAGAAAATCATTAGGAAATAAAAAAGTTCATGGATTACAGAAATCGCATATGCAAACACGATAAGGAGTAAGAGTCTAGCCAATAAAACAAGGAAAAAAAAAAAAAAAATAAGAGTCGAAATTGATCACCTGCAGAACTCTTGGAACCAAGATTTCTGCAATCTGAATATATAATTCAGATCAAGATCCTTGAGAGTGGTTGTTGAATCAATTTCAGATTCAGGTTTGTCAGTTAAACGACCATGTGAAGAACCTTTCAAGTCAAAACGTCGATGTATAGCATAATCAGAGCAAAACAAATTTCCCATTATAACAAACCTCACCTGCTCATAAAAAAAATCCACAATTATAAGAACAGAGGAATTAGTATCAAGATTAAAAGTGTGTTGATGAAAGAAAGACAGAATTTACTGATCATTTTAACTACCTTCTTTTGTGCATGTCCACTCATCTTCACACAATGAAGGCCAAAAAATTTTGTTACTAAGGTATTCTCAAAGGCTCGTACATGATTGTAATAAGCTTGAAGCATTCTTATCAACACCTACAATTAGCAGGATTAGGATGTTATATAGTTGAAGACAGAACTCAGCAATTATTTCCAAGATTGTCTTTTCGCTGTTAAACATAAACATAAACAGAATTCTAATGTTCATTGTTCATCTTCAATTTGTCCAAATAACTTGAAATAAATGGTAAATAATCCCTTTTTTCATTGAGATTTTAGTCATTAGCAATTGCTAAGTTTGAGCAATTTCTGAATTCTTGTGTGACATGGACAAAAATTCATCGTACTGCATAATTTGATATAAGAACTCACTTTTACTTCTGACTTCTTCATGGTCTTAATCATGTATTTGTCATCATTGGTCGAGTAAAAGAAGCTTCCACTTTTTCCAGGAGACGAGAGCAGCCGAAGGGCGTCATCTCCACATATGGATATCATGTAATCAGCTGGATCCACCTTAAACAATTTTCTTAATGTCCTGAAAACATAATCATTATGTCTAATAAGGCCAATTGGTGCAAATGGACAAAGCATTATCAGAAATTATAAGTTCCTGTTAACACTAAGGCATCCATGTTTCTATGTCTGACCTGAAAACTAAGGGGCAGTAATCCTTCCATTTGAATGCAGACGATTGGTGAGGCGGAGTATGTTTTGATCCTTGCGGAGGAAATCGAGTCCATATCTTCTCCTTGGGATTAAAAGCTGTATCTCTCAGATCAAGGGATGTAGCTGGAGCAGCTCTTCCTACAGAATATCTGATTGATTGTACCAAATGAGATATAAACAGAAATATGAATCTAGCAACATATCACGAAGAACACTATTGAGACGAATATAACTGAAATCACACCATCTGGAAGCAAATTAGTAAACAGAGTTTATAAGAACTCAATTGGTGCTACGCCTACCTCCACTTATTGTCATATATTCTATAATCCATTTTAGCATATGCCCGCACATCCATCTTAGCATCCTCATTTCCATATCGTTCTTTCAACGGTCCAAAGTTAGTACGATCATTAAAACTAGCCTTTTAACATTGTAAGGATCTTATCACGCAGAATTCCTAAAGCAATTTCTCTAACAAGATTACTCGTCAAGGATTAACTCGCATCATGTACATATAGTGAATAACCTGTATATGAATCCAAACCATGAATGCAGTTATTCTATTCAAACAAAAATCATTTTTCCTTTTACCAAAATGAGAATTAAGAGACAGATTCCATTAAAAGCAATTTTATACCTTATTCCAAGCTGCAAATTAAGCATGAGGTCATAATTCTTATGCCCTTTGGATATCGTCTCTCCCTGCATTTTGGTTGGCTTTCCAATGATGTCATCGTCGTCCACATGGGCAACAGACATTGTTGAGAATATGCTGTTTGCCCTTTTCTTTGCACCAGCTTGTGATTTCTTCACCTTGATAATGCTACTCAGTTTTTTGTTCATTCTTCTGTCTATTTGCACCTCAGAATCCCATCTTTCGATTATTTTTGATCAACTCAAATCGTAAACCTTCCTTTTTGCCAAGAACGTGAGCCCTACAACCAAATCGATAATCATATTTTCAACAACCGAAAAGACCATACGACGTTTTCATTGTTCATTTCCTTAAAATGGTGTCTGATGTTTTATACATTTTATGAAGAAACAGATGGTGTTGGATTGTCAAGAAAGAAACAAAATGGGATGACAATATCCAGAAATAAAGGAACCCAAAATCAAGAACAATAAAATATAAAACCTTTTTGCTTTGATTTGTGCAAAATGCATAATGTTTGTTTGTGTTTGTCAAAACAAGAAGGGCTGTTTTGATGCAGGCAGGAAAAGCCAAAAACAGGGACCAACCAATGAAGGGCCTTTTCCTTTCAATTAGAAGCATTTTCTTTTCTTTTCTTTCATTTTCCCCTCTTTTGTTTAAGTTTTTATTTCTTTTTTCATTTTTTCTCTCATTCTTTAATTTTATTTAGCGAAATTTTCATTTTAATAATTCAACTTTTCTTTGGGTTCCGAAATCATCACTAAGTTACAATTTTATTTTAGTTGGTCATCAATAACAATTTGTGATATGAATTAGTGTCTTCTCTTACAAGAAAACATACATATATATATATATTGCATAGATTGATGTGAACCCACGTAACAATTGTAATTACGAAATTCACAATGGATTAGATTAAATCTAAGAAAGTCAAGAATCAACGTTTAAAAAACTTGACCCAATAAATTATTGAACAAAAGAACTAAGACAACCGCTAACAATATCTTAATCCCGTGATCATAAAACTCACGGAATTTACTTGAATTGTTGAACGCCACTACAATTTAACTAAAATAGAAGTTTAGACAAAATTTGAAAAATCATGTCCCAATTTTATACCATGCAGCCACATAGGTGTAGAGAATGTGGTCGCATAGGCATTTCTTCAGCTTTTAGTGTGGTTTTGGCATGGAGGCATGCGACCACATACTTAGATGTACTATGCGGTCGCATAACTTTCCCTTTTTCAGCTCCCTTGTCTGTTATTTGAACCGAGTTGATTCATCTTGTTCCTTCTCCATGCTCAATATGAACTAGTCATTTTACTTGTTGTGATCAATGCTTCATCCACTGTAAATTGAACAAGTAATCCCATGATTTCTTTGACCTTCTTTGCTCGTGATCTCGTCATTGATCCTTCATCCACAATCAACGAGTTCTTGTCGTTGCTAGCTTCATACAACGGTTCTCATCATAGACTCCTTGTGATGCTGGACAATTGAGAGTTATACTTTAAAAAAGAAAATGCAACTTTTAACAAGGTAGTGTTTTGTATAAGTGTGACTTTTACAAGTCGAAAAAGGGAGTATTACACAACACAATTAACGATTCCTACTAATACTCATAATGTTAGAATCATGTAGGAAATGACACTAAATTATGTGACGAATCCTTACTTGTTGGTGGCTAAACTAGAACCAAATAGGTCATAGATTGAGTTTGAAAAATTAAAAAAATAAATAAATTGAGTGACTAAAATGAAAATTCACTCAAATTAAGGTGACCTCTACTGTTATCTACTTTGTCTCCATTATAGTGAGAGGCAACAATTGAAGAAACACATATTCTTTAGGTTGGGGGATTTGGTTCCTAAATGTACTATGACACCTAACAAATGGAAGGACGAGAGAGACATCAATATTTCTTGTCACCAAAAACATCAATGGATGATATTATCAATCAAATTAATTTTAAAGTAAGATCTGCTTGCCACGTCGTGTGTGATAATTATACTTTTGAATATAAGATTTGCATGTGCTGTATCTACAAGGTATACTAAAAAGCTTGCTTGATGACGATTTTTTGAGAATATATCGATAGGTGAGTGTTTGAAAATTTTGTAGTTAAAAAGTAGTGAAAAATTGTAGATCTCTATGTAAAATTAGTTATTCGAATAACGTGTGGTTGAAAATAAATTTAAAATAAAAATAAGTTTTAAAAAATGAGTTCAAACAGGGACATTACAAATTAGACCCTTGTTTGAGCCACATTATTTTCATAAGAAAGCATTTTTGAATAGTGTATTAATGGAAATGTGTGGTTAAAAAATAAGAAAAAATTTTGAATTTCTGTATAATATTATTTTATTAAAAAATATGTGATTAAAATGATGTCAAATCACTATTTAAAAATATATTTTTTTGAAAGAATGTGGATCAAATATGACCTATAGGGTATTTGATTTGCTTTTTTCAATTTTCAATTTTATAAAACATTCAAAATAGAAACTTAAAAATATGTTTAATTTGGAATTTATAAAAATTATTTTGTGACACTTTATTCAATTTTCAAGAGACTCTTTAAATATAAGATATTCTTTATTTTAAAAAATCAATTTTCAAAACTATGCTCTAAGAGATTGAATAAATGTCATAAAACAATTTTATAATTAGACATTAAATTAAACGTCATGAAACAATTTTTCAAAATTCCAATTTAAACATATTTTTTTTAAGTTTCTATTTTGAGAATGACAAATCAAATGTATATTTTAAGCAGTCCCTCAATGTAAAAAATAAAAATGAATTATATGTATATTTTAAGCAGGCCCTCAATGTAAAAAATAAAAAATAATTCTTGAAAAGCGCACGAATTAGTATTCAAACATAATACAACTTTACTCCTTTTTGAAATAATGATGTGAAAGAATGACAACACTCGATATTCTTTTCTTTTTATTTTTGTGGGGGTACTTTCCACTTATTTGATTTAAAGTGTCTCCTAAAATGTGAAATAATAATAGTGTACTAAATTCTAATTCTTATTTTTAGAGAAGCCACTTCTAAAATTTCGCATTTGTGTAAAAAGTTGATATGTAATAAAGTCAAAATTAGTTAAACGCAAGCTCCACCTTAAGCTCCATCTACTGTTTCTTCGAGCTTTTAATGGATACTATCTCGACCTCGAGGACTCTATAATCACCTTGTCAAGTGGAAGTTTCAATATCTTGATTCAATTAAATAGTTCCTCGAATGGATTAATCACATGTTTGGATATGCTTACAAGTAACGTTGTTCACTATTTTTTTGTGATAAATTGTGGATATCCCATAATAATTAGAGCTCGCACTCTTTTTTTTGAAAACAAATATAGCTTTTAGCCTTTGTTTTGTACTAGGGACTAAAATTTATCGAAGTCAACAATTAATTTTAGCCATATATTTCATGTGATCTATAATTTTTTAGCCATACATTTTATCAACTTTTATCAAAATTTATTAAAAAATTAATTTTATCAAATAGGGACTTAATCATTTAATTTTGTTTGGATGAAAAGTGCAATGTGCGTGACAAAGTTAAGGACCTTCTTTGCTATTTTACCCAAGCCTAAAGTACTCTAATATTTTCTGCAGCATTCTCATACAATCCAATGCATGTAGATGCTGCATTTGTTTCATGGAGTTTTTCCTCTTGGACAATGCCTTGTCCAAACAAGGGGCGCCAAAAAAGTATTACCCTGTTTGGACAGAGCATTGTCCAAGTAGCACGGCAGTAGACATCCGGCCAATGGGGTCATCATGTCGCTCCTGTTTGGATAGGACATTGTTCAAGTAGCATGATCCTTGTTTCACGAAAAAAGCTACTTGAACAGGGCCATCTAGGCCTTGTTCCTTGTTCGAACAGGGACGTCACTTAAGCACCGTTTGACTAGCACGGCCCTTTGTTTCACACCTAGGGTGGCCCAAAAACGGGAAATACATGAAATTGACCCAAATAAGAGAGACCATTTTCCAAAATGGCCCTTGACTTTTCCAAACATTTGGAACTACCTAAAATACCTTTAAACAAAATTAAAAACAACCTATTTCACAATAAAACTCTTCTATCTAAGTCCTTAAAAAATTAACAAGTAATTTTTTTAAAAATTTGAAAGAATTATTAATGAATAATTATAAAATGAAAAAACTCAAATATAAGAGAGGACTATATAATATAAAAAAATGTTGTTAAAAATAAAAAAGAAATTGATAAGATAGGATATCAAGAACAATTATATGCATCACAAGAAATATTAAAATGTTTCAAAGAAAATTTATTAGAAAATTTTGCTAAAGAAATTGTAAGATCAATAATCATAAAAGATATACAAGATATCATAGATAAATTAGAAAAATATCTCAAAATAAGATATACCTTTTAGAACAGACATAGATATGATAACATATATTGATATTATAAATTCTCAGATATTACTAGACTTTGAAGAATTACTTAAAAATTTATAAGAAGACCAATAAAAAAATAGATTACTACAAGCATATAAAAAATTAGTTTTTAACCTTACATTAAGATTTTATATACGCTTAATAACAAATAAATTAACTAAAACAAAAATAAAAGAATTTTTAGAATATTAGAATATTAGATTTGTGATTATTAGATTATTAGATTTTTGTTCGCTCATAGTAGCATCATCCCGTTGGTATCAGAGCCAGAGAGATCATGAGAAAATATATAAAAATAAATTACCTAAAAGATATTGAAAATAAATAAAATTAATCATTGAAAAGATAAAGAAAGACTCAAAAGTTTATGATTTTAGAAATTATTGAAACTTATAAAAATAGACTAAGGTATCAGGTAAAATATAGTTCTAATATAGAAGGTTATATAGAAGAAGATAATATAGTTGGAACATATAGTAAAGACATAAAAGAAATATTAGAAATTTTTAGAGTAATTAAAAATCTACCTTTAGAACTAAAAGAAAAAATAATTAAAAAGATATTATTTGAAGAATATAAGCATATATATATATATATATATATTAGAAGAAATCCAGAGTGAAATAGATTTCATAGTAATCTGAAAAAAAAAATATTATGAAAATCATAAAAATAAATAATTATTATCAATGTACTGAAAAAAAAGGATATTATATATTTTTCAACCCTATCCCTAATAAATTAAAAATAATAACATTATATGTAACTAGGAATTTACCTAGAGAAATAAAGGAACAAATATTACATAAATTAATTGTAGGATTTATCAAAGATAGATATACATATGAAATAATTATCAAAATATTTGAAAATGAATTATACTATAGAGAAATACTTGAATCATCATAAAAATATAATGGAAGAAACTAAAAATATTTTAGAAAGAAAGTTAAGAAGAATAAGATTAATAAATAATAAAATTTTAGATGAATTATTAATACCTGGAGCTATAACTAAAACTCAAGAAAAACAAATATTAAAATTAAAATAAGAAATATATAAAGAAAAGGTAAGGTATTATGAAAAATTAAAAGAACTAACAAATATTGAAGTTATAAA